TGCAACAGCCAGGGTTGGGCCAGGCCAAAGCCAGGAAGCCAGAACTCCATCTGGGTCTCCCACATGGGTGGCTGGGGCCTAAGCACTTGAGCCATCATTTGCTACCCTCCCGGGATGCCTTAGCTGGAAGCTGGATCAGAAGCGAAGTGGGTGGGACTTGATATGGGATGCAGGTATCCCAAGAGGTGGCTCAACCTGCGGTGCCACCGCACTTGCCCTAAACCTGTCTTATTCCATACTCCACGAACTTTTCTGAAGTCCTCTTGTATGTCTTAAGATGGAAATTAATCATTTTGGGCCACATCCTAAAGACATTTCTAACATCAACCTGAGGAAATAAAGATGGCCCATTTTCTATCCTCCACCCAAATCTACGTGATGTCTCCCACCCCCCTCGGCGTGGGAGAGCGGATCCCACGTGTCAGATGCAGACCATTGCTGCGGGTGGCTTGCTCAGAGCAGATGAACCAATGCTCTTAGAAGTTAAGCTGCCGCCTGCGACACTGGTATCTCGTATAGGCACCGGTTCGAGTCCCAGCTGCTCCACTTCCCATCCAGCTCCCGCTAATGCACCTGGGAAAGCAGTGGAAGACATCCCAAGTGCTCGGGCTCCTGTACCCACATGGGACATCCAGAAGAAGCTTTTGGCTCCTGGCTTTGGACGGGCACAGATCTGGCCATCATGGCCACTTGGAGAGTGAACCAGAGGATAGAAGACTCTCTTTCTGTATAAATTTTGCCTTTCAAAATAAATAGATCTCGAAATACCACTAATAATAGCCGGCACCGCGGCTCAATAGGCTAATCCTCCACCTAGCGGCGCCGGCACACCGGGTTCTAGTCCCGGTCGGGGCATTGGATTCTTTCCCGGTTGCCCCTCTTCCAGGCCAGCTCTCTGCTGTGGTCTGGGAAGGCAGTGGAGGATGGCCCAAGTGCTTGGGCCCTGCACCCCATGGGAGACCAGGAGAAGCAGCTGGCTCCTGGCTTCGGATCAGCGTGGTGCGCCGGCCGCAGTGTGCCAGCCGTGGCGGCCATTGGAGGGTGAACCAACGGGAAAAGGAAGACCTTTCTCTCTGCTTTCTCTCTCACTATCCACTCTGCCTATCAAAAAAAAAAAAAATACCACTAATAAAAAAATAAGCCTGCTGGCTAGGGAGCTGTTTCTTAGAATCTAAGCAATTAACTGCAAAGAAAAATCAATGTTGCTTTGACCTAGCAATTCCCATTTCTCAGAGTCTTGACAATGACAGAAACATTTGCAGCTGGGCAGAAAATACATGTATATGGCTGTTCCGTGCAGTCCTGCTTGGGAAGTCAAAACCTGGGGAATGATATCCATGTCTGTCAGTAGACAAAGGGGGATTTAGGTTGCACCTCCTTCACAGAACAGAGCCCGCTGCTCCTGGTTAAAGATGTGCAAGATCTGCATGAACCCTCATGGCCACAGATCACTGGGAAAGCTGTGTGAAGAGCAGGCTGCAGATTCCATTTCTGCTAAAAACAAACGAACAAAAAACCCCATCTACTGGCTGGGGCTGTGGTGCCACTGCCTGCAACTCTGGTGGCATCCCACGGGAGTGCCGGTTTGAATCCTGGCTGCTCTACTTCCAGTCCAGCTCCCTAATGCACCTGCGAAATCAAGAGAAGATGGCCCAAGTACTTGGACCCCTGCCAGCCATGTGGGAGACCTGGATGGAGGGCCTGGGTCCTGGCTTTGGCTTGGCCCCGCCCCAGCTGTTGGGGACACTTGGGAAGTAAACCAGGGCACAGAGGCTCTTTCTCTGTCATGTCATGCCACCTTTCAAATATATAAATAAATTGAAAAAAAAAAAAGTCTATCTGTATAAAAGAAACAAGAAAGATTTGGAAAGACACCCCATAGGGCTGAAAAGGAGTTTTCTCTTAGAAAGGAATTTTGGGGTGGTTGAGGAGAGAAAAGGCTTTTCTACATGGTGGATTTTTAGAAAAAAAAATCTCCATAAGAATGCACTGACTTCACTTAGGACTTGAGCAGCTCTGTTTTAAAGAAAGATAAATAATTCATGAGACATGTGTTAAGCCTATGGTTTTCAAACAAATCCTGGGAGTTACAGATATTTTAGAGTTGACTGGGTGCTGTGGCGGGGATGGGATCCAGTGGGAGGGACCCCCAAAACCTCATACATTGCTGGAGTTTCCATTAAAAATAATAGATTTCTGTTGCTTAAAGATATAAATTTTGTAAGCCACTCTTTCAAAGGAAACTACAGTTTTAAATTCATTCCAACCTACAACACTGAATCAATCGGAGTTGTGGACGTGTCGACAGATGCAGGATTTATGTGCTTGGCCGTATTCGGGGGTGGAGTACACGGGCCCCGCCGAGAGGAGATGCTTGTGGGGGGTGCTGGGGGATGGGTGACAGAGGTCTCCAGGAGGAAGGGGCTGCTTACGGCTTAGGATTTTGGAAGGTGAAGAAGAGAGCGTTGCCCTGGGGGTGGGGCTGTGAGTGGAGGCTGGGGTCCATGTCACAGTGTCAGCACTGTGGATGGGCAGCTCACACCTTTAACGCAGCCTTGATGTCCCAGCGCAGGTTCCTCAAGGCAGAGATGTTCCCTGGTTTTGCTGTGGTCCCCTTCATATAGACAAACTGACTGCTTAAAGAACCAGTGTTGGCCGGTGTCGCGGCTCACTTGGCTAATCTTCCGCCTGAGGCGCCGGCACCCTAGGTTCTAGTCCCGGTCAGGGCGCCGGATTCTGTCCCAGTTGCCCCTCTTCCAGTCCAGCTCTCTGCTGTGGCCCAGGAGTGCAGTGGAGGATGGCTCAAGTGCTTGGGCCCTGCACCTGCATGGGAGACCAGGAGAAGCACCTGGCTCCTGGCTTCGCATCGGCGCAGTGTGCTGGCCATAGTGGCCATTTGGGGAGTGAACCAATGGAAGGAAGACCTTTCTCTCTGTTTCTCTCTCTCTCTGTCTAACTCTGCCTGTCCAAAAACAAACAAACAAACAAACAAAAACAAGAACCAGTGTCATTGCATGTCCATTCCTGTTGGGGTTTGTGTGCACAATGTGGTTCCTGTAACTGTGGCCTCAAAGCTTTCCCATGAGCCGTGCCCTCTGATGCAGTCGCTCCTCTCACACTTTTCTGGGTCCCAGACAATGCGTGCTGGACCCAGCTGCACCAGGGACTTGAATACCAAGTCCTCCTTTGGGTCCAAGGGGAGAAATAGTCACTCAAATACGAGGGGACTTCAGAAAGCTTGTGGGGAAATGGAACTGAAAATAACTTGCTTTGGTGTAAATTTTTTTGAGACCTATGCACTGCATTTTCATAATACACATTTTTCATGAATCTTTTAAAGATCTCTCATAGGCATGGATTTCAGGATTTTTTGGGGGTAACAAAATAAAGGTTATCTTTTAATTGCATTTTCCATGAACTTTTTTTTTTTTTTTTTTTTTGATTTTCAGTTTGGGACAGGCAGAGTGGACAGTGAGAGAGAGAAACAGAGAGAAAGGTCTTCCTTTGCCGTTGGTTCACCCTCCAATGGCCGCCATGGCCAGTGCACCGCGCTGATCCGATGGCAGGAGCCAGCTGCTTCTCCTGGTCTCCCATGGGGTGCAGGGCCCAAGCACTTGGGCCATCCTCCACTGCACTCCCTGGCCACAGCAGAGAGCTGGCCTGGAAGAGGGGCAACCGGGAAAGAATCCGGCGCCCTGGCCGGGACTAGAACCCGGTGTGCTGGCGCCGCTAGGTGGAGGATTAGCCTATTGAGCCGTGGCGCTGGCCTTCTATGAACTTTTAAAAATTTATCTTAAAATTTTGTGTGTGTGTTTTTTTTTTTAAATAAGATGTTTTATTTTTAATCTACTTCAAAGGCAGAGCAGGAGAGGGAGAGGGAGAGAGGGAGAAGGAGGTAGGGGGAGAGAGAGCTTCAGCTGGTAACAAGTAAGTCAGCCAGGCTGAAGCCAAGAGGCCAGAATACCATCTGGGTCTCCCACATGGGTCATGGGGGCCCAAGCACCTGAACCATGCACCACTGCCTGCTTCCCAGAGGGCATTAGCAAGCAGCTGGATTGCAAGTGGAGGCACTGGGACTCCAACTGGCACTCCGATGTGGGATGCAGATTTCTCAAGTGGTGGCTTAACCCTCTGCACCACAACGCCCTATGTTTAAATTCTGAATGACCGTTTAAGACTTGCACATTCTTAAGGGGTAGAAAGCAGCTTTTCAACACATATACACAGCTTCAACCACCCATGCCAGGCCTCTACATTGCATTATCTGTGCTTTGTGTTGGGAGCCTACCAGCTCCCCTGCTCCTATTCTCAACCAGAACATTCTACATCTCCATGAGCCATAGTCACCCCCAGTGAACCACAGAACCTTGACGTCTGCCCCACTGTGCTTGGGCGCCTGTTACCCAACCTCCTCTCTTCCCCTTCCCTCCATGGCTTTTTTTTTTTTTTTTTATATCCTCTTGTATTAAAACCCCAAACAGACCCAAAATACCCCCAAACAACTTGAGAGGAAGGAGAAAATCAGTGCCACGAGAAAGGGAAGAATAAAAGGGAGAGAGAGGAAGAGGAAACAAAGAAGAGTGAGCAAAGAGCTGTCTTGGGGAAGACTCAGCCCAAGAAGAGAGCCAGAGAGATGTGTGGCTGGGGGTCCAGCACGCCACAGCTGGCCAGTGCCCGTGGCCTAAGCACTCTCCCCACCTCTGATCCACTTCGGGCTACTATCAGGAAGTCCCTGAATGAGGAGCTGACGAGAGCCAGGGGAACAAGACACATGATTGGCTGTCACATGTGGGTGCACCGCCTCCAGCTCAGGAGACACACATGATTGGCAGCCATGTGTGTTGGATGTGCTGCCTCCAGCTCACCCTGTTCGGATCCCACAGAGCACACGGAAGGACTCCTACGGCCGCCCACCCACCAAAAACAGCACAAGGAGGAAAAGCCCTAATAGAAGCCCCACCCCCACTGCCAGGCTGCTGCTGGCTTAGGGTGCAACTTACTTTGGGTTCCAGCAGGTGATCAGCGGCTTCATGGTGTGGTGGGTGTGGTCGATGGTCAGGGCCTCCAGTAGCCAGTGCAGGGCACAGAGCTGGCGGAAGAGGGGCTCACTGCAAGGACAGAAGAGGGAGCCCGGTAGCACCCGGTTAGAACTACGCTCTTCATGGGAATGCCACGGAGGTGGCCGCTGCATTGGCTCCTGGTCAGAGAGCGGCACCACGCCCCAGGCACGCGTATAGGTTTTGCACAGATCATCCCGTTAGACCTTTGCAGCGGACTCTGGAGGTGTTCATCAGACCCATTCTACAGATGGGCACCCTGAGGCTCAGAGGAGTTAAGGAAGCCATGCCAGGTCTGTGGGCCAGCAGGTGGCAGGGCTGGGATTCAATTCTGAGCCAGTTACGGGGAATAGGGTGGACAGGGACAATGTGGGGGTCTTTACTCAAGCAAATGAGAAGAGTGGAAGAAATTAGTATCCTATGGGTGTTACTCTAGTAAGACTGAATGTGCAAAAAGTCCAGAACACAGGGAAATGAATATATTAACTGCACCTTTTTAAAAAACAGGTCAGTGACTGGGCCATGCATTAAATCCTCGAGTCCTTTGCTTGAAAAGGCAGCTGAATGTTGAATAAAAACAGAGAGGGGCCAGTGCTATGGCACGGCAGGGTAAAGTCTGGGCTGCTCCACTTCTAATCCAGCTCTCTGCTATGGCCTGGGAAAGCAGTAGAAGATGGCCCAAGTCCTTAGGCCCCTGCACCCACGAGGGAAATGTGGAAGAAGCTCCTGGCTCCTGGCTCTGGCCTGGTCCAGCCTCAGTCGTTGTGGGCATTTGGGGAGTGAACCAGCAATTGAAGACCTCTCTCTCTCTGTAACTCTGCTGTTCAAGTAAGTAAATAATAAATCTTTGAAACACACACACACACACACACTCTCTCTCTCTCTCTCTCTCAAAAAAAAGAAAAAAATGTCTACCTGACATTTTCTGATTGTGCAGGCACCTTGCATTAGCTGTGTGCAAGAAGCCAGGCACTGGCTAGTGTAGTCTCTACACATGGCTTAATTCTCCCAGCAACCCCGAGGGGTACGAATCCTCATTTTAAAGACAGGGAAGCTGAGGCTCAGTGAGGCATGGTGGCTTTACTCAAGGTTATGCAGCTCAGGGGTCCAGGATGGGGTCTGAGTAGCCCACGGAGCAGTCGCAATGACCGTGGGAGGGGGTCCTGTTCCCACCTCTTCTAACAGAGCAGACACCTGAGGCTGGGAGAGGGGAAGTGAGTTACCCGAGGTTACACAGCAAGGATGTGTGTGACCAACACAGTGGTCAGGAGAGGGTTAAACAGCTGCCTGGAAGCAAGGTGGGGTCCTGGCCTGTCACCCTCCTTGTAACACTGTAACGGACAAGATATGAGATGCCTCCTGTATAACTGTGATCCAGGAGGAGGGGCGGGTAACAGTGACACTGTGTGGTGTAGCAGGTAAAGTTGCCGCCAGCAGTGCCTGGCTTCCCATATGGGTGCCAGTTTGAGTCCCAGCTGCTCTACTTCCTATCCAGCTCTCTGCTATGGCCTGGGAAGGCAGAAGATGGTCCAAGTCCATGGGCCCTTGCACCTGCATGGGAGATCCGGAAGAAGCTTCTGGCTCCTGGCTTTGAATCAGCTCAGCTCTGGCCATCTGGGGAGTGAACTACCGAATGGAAGATGTTTTTCTCTCTCTCTGTAACTCTGCCTTTCAAATAAATAAATAAAATCTTAAAAATCTTTGGAGGTATAGTCCAAAGACAAAAGCTGCCACAGTGAAAAAAACAAAGAAACCAACAAATATCTCCACAAATGCCAAATAATAAATGTACCAATTCAAGAAACAAGAATAAGGAACACAACATGACACCCCTAAAAGAATACAACACTTAAGTATTAGACTGTGATGATGAAGAGATTGAACAAATGTCAGAAATGGTATTAAAAAAAATGATCATAGGGTTACTTAGAAGTAATCAGAGGCAAATGCACAAACTAATGAAATCCGAACATGAAAGAAAATTTCTCCCACAAAATTAAGATCATAAAGAGAATTCAAAATGAAATCTTAGAAATGAAGAATTCAATCAAACAAATAAAAAATGCAGTGGAAAGCCTTAAGAACAGAATTGGAAAAGCAGAAGAAAGAACATCCGAATGAGAAGATAAATTGCAGGAACTACAAGGTCAGACCAAAAACAAGAAGAAATTAGACACTGCTGGGAATCTCCAGGATACTATTAAATGACCCAACATACTGGTTCTAGAATTTCCTGAAGGCGTGGAAAGAGAGAAAGGATTAGAAGGCCTTTATAGTGAAATAACAACAGAAAACTTCCCTAATTTGGAGAAAGAAAGGGGCACCCAAGTACAGGAAGCACACAGAACTCCTAATAGACAGGACCAGAAAAGATCTTCATCCGACACATTGTAGTCAAACTCTCCACAATCCACATAAAGAAAAGATTCTAAAATGAGCACTGGAGAATCGCCAGATGACTTTTAAAGGATCTCCAATTAGACTCATAGCAGATTTCTCATCAGAAACCCTACAGGCTAGAAGGGAATGGCCAGGTACATTCCAAGTCTTAGGAGAAAAAAACTGTCAACTCAGAATACTGTACCCTGCAAAGCTCTCAATTATGAATGAAAGTGAAATAAAGACCTTCCATAACAAACAGAAATTGAAAGAATTTTTCACCTCTCATCCAACCTTACAAAAAATCCTTAAGGATGTGCTGCACACAGAAACATAGTCATCACTATGAAAGAAAGTAAAGGCAGAAAAATCTCTCAGTAAAAGTACAAAGGAAATCTAAAGTAAAAATAGGAGTATTTATTGAAAAATGGCAGGGCCAAGTTGTTACTTATCAATAGTCACTTTGAATGTAAATGGCCTCAGCTCTCCAGTTAAAAGATACAGACTGGCTGAATAGATTAAAAAAAAAAAAAACCAACTATTTGCTTCCTACAAGAAATACATCTCACCAACAAAGATGCATGCAGACTGAAAGTGAAAGGATGGAAAAAGATACTCCATGCTAACAGAAACCAAAAAACAGCTGGTGTAGCCATCCTAGTATACAGGGATGGTTCAATATTCACAAATCAAATCAATCAATGTGATACATCACATTAACAAACTAAAGAACAAAAAATTATATGATTTTCTCAATAGATGCATGGAAGCATTTGATAAAATACAACCCCCTTTCTTGATGAAAACTCTAAGCAGAATGGGTATAGAAGGAACATTCCTCAATACAATCCAGGTAATCTATGACAAAACCAAGGCCAGAATCCTATCAAATGGGGAAAAGTTGGAAGCATTCCCACTGAGATCCAGTACCAGACAGGGATGCCCAGTATCACCAATGCTATTCAGTATAGTCCTGGAAGTTTTAGCCAGAGCCATTAGACAAGAAAAAGAAATCAAAGGGATTCAAATTGGGAAGGAATCCAATTCAATTTGAATTGGATTCCTATTTGAATATGACATGATTCCATATATATATAGGGGATCCAAAAGACTTTTGGAACTCTATAGAAGAGTTTGGTAAAGTAGCAGGTTATAAAATCAAGCCTTTGTATACACAGACAATGCCACAGCTGAGAAAGGACTCCTAAGATCAAGTCTACTCATAATAGCTACCAAAATAATCAAATACCTTGGAATAAATTTAACCAAGGGTGTCAAAGATCTCTATGATGAGAATTACAAAACATTAAAGAAAGAAAAGAAAAAAAGAAAAAGAAAAAATCGTCCATGTTCATGAACTGGAAGAATATCCAAATGCCCATATTTCTGAAAGCATTTTACAGATTAAACATGAAACCAATCAAAATACCAAGGACATTCTTCTGAAATATAGAAAAAATGATGCAGAAATTCATATGGAAACACAGGAGACCTTGAATAGCTAAAGCAATGTTACACAACAAAAACAAAGCTGGAGGCATCACAATACCAGATTTCAAGACATAATACAAGACAGTTATAATCAACACAGCATGATACTGATACAAAAACAGCTGGACAGACCAATGGAACTGAATAGAAATGCCAGAAGGGGTCGGCACTGTGGCATAGCGGGTAAAGCCACCGCCTGCTGTGCTGGCATCCCATATGGGTGCCAGTTCGAGTCCTGGCAGCTCCATTTCCAATCCCACTCTGCCATGGCCTTTGAAAGCAGTAAAAGATAGCCCAGTTGCTTGGGCCCCTGCACCTGTGTGGGAGACCCAGAAGAAGCTCCTGTCTATTGACTTTGGTTCGGTACACTTCCGGCTGCTGCAGCCATTTGGGGAATGAACTAGTGGATGGAAAACCTCTCTCTCTCTGCCTCTCCTTCTCTATGTAACTCTGACTTTCAAATAACTAAATAAATCTTAAAAAAACACCAGAAATCAATCCAAGCATCTACAACCAACTTATATTTGACAAAGGAGCTATAACCAATCCCAGGAGCAAGGAGAGCTCTTCAACAAATGGTGCTGGGGAAACTGCATTTTCACAGGCAGAAGTATGAAGCAGGACCCTCTATCTTACACCTTACACAAAAATCCACTCAAAATGGATTATAGACCTAAATCTATGACACAATACCATCAAATTATTAGAGAACATCGGGGAAACCCTGCAAGACATTGGCATGGGCAAAGAGTTCTTGGAAAAGCCCCCAGAGGCACAGGCAATCAAAGCCAAAATCAACAAATGGGATTGCATCAAATTGAGAAGCTTCTGTACTGCAAAAGAAACACTCAGCAAAGTGAAGATGCAACTGACAGAATGGGAGAGATCTGCAAACCATGCAACAGATAAAGGATAACCAGAACATATAAAGAGATCAAAAACAAGAATAAAACAAACTAACCAAGTTAAGAAATGAGCAAAGGACTTAAATATGCATTTTTCAAAATAGGAAATCCATTTGGCCAACAGGCACATGAAAAAATGCTCAGAATCACTAGCCTTCAGGGAAATGCAAATCAAAACCACAATGAGGTTTCAGACAGAAATCAACAAAAAACAAATGCTGGCGAGGATGCGGGGAAAATGGTACCCTAATCGACTGTTGGTGGGAATGTACACTG